GAGATTGATGAGAAGGTTGAGACTTCTACTTCGTTAACTGATGAGGACATTTGCGAAGCCGTATGTGTCAAAGATCAAGTTTCGTCACAAGATTCTGATGCCGATGATGAACCTGAAAGTGCTATTGAGGACAAAATTCTGACGCCTGCTCAGATGAGGGAGGCACTTCGAATCTTACGTCTGGGTGTGCAAAACAAAGCCGACGCGGAACACTTTCATAAACATTATGATTATGAGCGATTCGTAAATGACTTGCTTCGAAAGAATGCTAAACAATCGACAATTGATGATTTCTTTTTCAGTTAATAATTAACCTTTTGTATTGTTTTCTGCAGTTCATCATTAAATATGTGAGTATACTAACTAATTCTTTTTCTTTAGTGTACATTAATTTCTATTAAATACTATAGAGCAGTGGTTCCCAACCTGGGGGCGATAATCCTTAGGGGTGCGACGAGTATTCAAAAGATAAAAATTGCTAATAATATTAATGACAAAAGCTATTTGAGATCAAAATTGAAAACATATACGAAGCTTATGGTTCTGGTGTAGACAATGAATTACGATAGTTAAAAATTAAAAAATTTCATGTTCAGGATCGTTTTCGTCATACGTTTTGGTATCGCTGGCGGAAATCTGACCTTCAAGAATTCTCTTTTGTTGAAAGTCACGGTCTTTTATATATCTTCTTCTCCTCAAATGTTCCTCTCTCGTCTCATTCCCATCCCTCCGATTTTAAAAGGCATGTAATAGGAGAAACGGATTGATAGACGAAATATTTATATAACTCTAAACCTCACACATTTGGTGAACTCTTATTTTACCTGCTACTAAAAAAATTGTTGAAATCATGTAGGGTGAGGGATCGAGCAATAATATAAAACCTCTGAGCAATAATACTGTTTCCAGGCTTATTGATGAGATGGCCGCAGACGTTGAATCAAAACTCATCAAATTTATGAGAGAAGGTAAATTTGCGTTGCAGATTGATGACTCAACTGTGATAGATAACAAAGCTATTGTATTAGCTTACGTGAGATTCATAAATGAGAGTAAGGAGATTGGATGAACGAGGAAATGTTGTTTACAAGAACTTTGATCACTGATACAAAATGGTCGTAGATTTTTAAATTGATCAAAGACTATTTTGTGGAAAAAGAAATTCCCCTTACAAATGTAAGTGCTTGGGCAACAGATGGTGCTCCTGCCATGTCTGGTCGCTATACTGGGCTTCTAGCGCACCTTAAAAAAAAGTACCGGAGGTCATCACCATTCATTGTGTCATTCATCGTCAACATTTGGCTGCAAAAAAGTTGAGTGGTGCCCTGCATGACACTTTACAATTCGTTATTTCTGGCATCAATAAAATCAAAGCTAATTCTCTCAATGACCGTTTGTTCCGAGAACTTTGCCGTGAAAATGATGAAGATTTCGAAAGCTTGCTCCTATCTGCATATGTGAGATGGCTTTCAAAAGGAAACTGTTTGCGTCGTTTTTTCGAATTGTTTGACTCGGTTACTGAGTTTTTCGACACCACTGATCCTGTTTTAAGTGAGAGTTTGAAGCAACGCAAGCTGGAAACTGCGTACCTCACGGGATATTTTTGAAAAAATGTACAAAATCAAGGTAAAACTTCAAGGAAATAAAGTGAACATTATCAAGGCCATCGCAAAGAGCTAATGCAATTTCCAACTCTTAGAAAGTGTTAAAAAATAAAAGCTTAATTTTTACTGATTACCTTGATCAGTTAAAAACTGATATGGAATCAAGATTTAAAGATTTGATGAAATTAGAAATTCCGGATTGGATTTTCGATCCTTTCTCTTTTGAAGTTGTGGATAAGCTCATTTCCTCTTTACAGATTGAGTTTTTAGATTTGAAGTAGGCTAAAGTCGTCTTTAAAAAATACGGTTACGAGTTAGCTTGGGTAAAGCTTATGGACACTTATCCACAATTGTGGAAACAAACTGAGCCGCTCCTCATCTCGTTACCGTCAACATATTTAGTGGAGAGAGGTTTTAGTTCTGTCGTCCAGCTCCTCACAAAGCAAAGATAGGTTGGACATTTGCTTCAAAGGAGGCCTGCGACCTGCGACCCGCGTTTAAATCTGACGAACATAAAACCTGACATTCAAGCTTTTACTGAAATACACTAAGCACAGGGCAGTCATTGAAGTGGTAAAAAAGTACTTTCTCACTCTTCATTTTTTTCTCAAATTTTAGTTGCTAACGTTTTAACTTTTTCTTGATTACATTAAAATATGAATTTTAAAAAATGTACTTATGTTTTGATTATTCCGTTTTAAATATCATTTCTTTTTGAAAAAAAAAAAGATGTAAAATTTTTTTTAATTAATAAAAATGGCAGGATAAAATTGCCTCTTTATTTGCACTACAATTTAAATTAAAATCAAATATAACTTAGTGTTTGGCTGCTCACGGGTAGCAATGAATGGTTTTTGAGCAAAAAGAGAAAGAGGCGATGTGTGTCAGCCAACCCCAAGAGGGGGGCGATTGTCCACAAAAGGTTGGGAACCACTGCTATAGTTTTACAGCAAGAACTCCTAATTTAAAAAAATTTTCATTTTAATAAGTATGTAAAAAAATAATTTCTTAGCAAAAATTTATTTTCCTTTACTGTATTGTAATCAAATCACGTTCGTCCCGACGTGATCACATTAAGCGGCGTCTACTGTATAAAAAAAACTAGCTAACTGGCTACAGTTGAACAGAGGTTGTAGTGCCTACTAATGGTGGACTGGACAACTCTATCAGCCTTGATGGTAAGCTTGGCACTACCTGAAGTTTGTTTCTTGGGTCAAGGGGGTATAATAAAGATAGGTAATTTACCAACAAATAATTAAATAAACCTAATGTTTTCAATTTTATAAGCCAGAGTTAATATCCAAAAGTTAGAAGAAAGGGAAAAAAATAAGACCCTCCTTTAAACTTCACATATAATCAACATTTCAGCAACCTCTATTTTACTAGCTGATTCTAGCAGATTAAAAATCATATGAACAAAGAAAAAAAAATCAAGTTTGATTCGCAATCATTAAAACTTACATTAAAAGGCAATACACACAAAAGAAATTAGATATAGCATTCCTAACACTACATAAGGGGAATCAAAATCCCTAAAAAATATTTTAGACAAAATAGATGTTGAATTATGAGCAGTATTTTCATAAATAGACAGAAGAAACCTTTTTAATTGAAATTTACATTCTATTTCAATTATTTAATCACTAAAAATTAAAAGGTATGTTTTAATGAATCCAATTAGCATTTTGCTTACCCACCTACATAACAAAATACAAAGGTAGTCAACTCAATAGGCATCCATTAACATTAAATTATTGACTTTTTTTTACTATTATCTACAATTTCTTTACTACTTAGTATAAAGATTATTTTACTATGTCTAGATTTATAAGCAGGGTTGCCACAGGAAAAAATTAACAAAATAGTTGCTTTCAGTAGCCTAAACCATGAAAATAGTAGCCTAAAATTATGAAAATAGTTGCCTAAATATGAACAAAAATTTCTCAATACTACTACTAAAATTTCATTAAATGACTTCACTTTAATATACCATGAGCCACTTAGTCAAATTGACGGCCAATATGATAATTTCTAAATAAACGTTAGTGTTCTAGCACTAAATTTTTATATAAAAAAAAAATCAGTATATTTGCAGAACATTAAATACTTTTAAATGCTAGAATTAACACAGAAAAATAATTTGCAAAAAAAAAAAAACACTCTTTCTATTAATTTTCCCTTTCACATAATTTTTCCTTTTATCAATAATTGATTTAGCAAATATATATATATATATATATACATATTGAAAAAGTGATTACTAAAATTCGAAATTCATGCACCATAGTATCGTATTAAAAATTTGGCTCTTCAAAATCATGCAGAGTTTCCTAGCAATAACTGTTGAAAAGGCGATTGAGAAACAAAATAGATTCACAATGGAATGTGTGCAAATTGAGTGCATTAAAAAGTGATGACTCAAATCTGCAATTCAATATTTTTTTGTAATTTAGAAGAAAAAAATTCATTATGTTCAGAAGCTACCGCGAGCAGCAGGTTGTCAATTTATGCTAAAAAAAAACATTGCTAGGAGCACAGAAAAGTCTCCCAATAGTCTCCTTTTTCTGAAAATAGTTGCTTTTATAGCCTTTTCAGGCAAAAAAAAGTAGCCATAGTTGCCTCAGGTAGAAAATAGTTGCAAATAGTTGTATTTTAGTCACCTGTGGCAACCCTGTATAAGTTAATTTTGAATTTATTTGGTTTCAAGAATTTTTTCTTCTTTCACTACATGAATTTAAACATTTCATTTAATCGTAACATCATGGCTAACTATCTTATTTGCTATAGCATTATTATTCTGTATCAAGAAGTTCAGTATTCATGTTTCAATTTTTTGTTATAGTTGAAGTTAATATTTATTAGTTTATCGCACATTATGCTTATTTGATTTTCGTATAATTATAAAATAAAATGAAAACTAATTTAATTATCTTGCAGCTTTATTGAGATAATTTTGATTTAAATTCATATGGGGATGATAAAAATGTAAAGGAGCATCCAGCGCAGTGATTCAATAACAATGAATTGAGCCAAGCTTTACTACACCAGCTTAGGAAAAAAAAATCTATTTTATGTTAATGTCTTGCAAATTGTATTTAACATTGTTTATTTTACTTTTCCTAAGTTTCTTTTATGTTATGATTTGTCATTAGCTTTCAGGCTCATTTCTATACATATAAACATATACCATTTCTATACATATACCACTTACCAGCCATTAGCTAAAGAATCTAAAAAAAAACAACAACACTATTTTTCCTAAACCTGCATTTAAATAGGTAGAGTTATCTAACTGGCTGAAGATTAATTCTTAGAATCAAATATTTACTTTTTTTTTTATTTTTAAAAAAACTTGCAATATTGGAAAACTAAACTAAAAACATAAGACAACCTTACCAGACATAGCCGATAGAATATCGTTTCTTTCAGCAGATTTAGTAGCGGTGTTAACTTGCTTTTTAAAACGATTTAACCTGTTGTCGGTTTCCCGCAAACAATACACGAGTCTAGAATCCATGCCATATTCGTGTTTAGGAGTTTTAGTACTAAAAGCTCCTCGACCTCTCCTGCAAAATTATATACAAAATTTTTTTTTAGATGATATAAAAAAACAGTCAAAAACAAATTTTTAATAACATAAGTTACAGTTTTTAATCAATCTTTATAATAATAAATAAAATTTTTATAACCATCCAATAAATTTTGTAGTGTATAGCATTTTGACAGAATTTTTTTGAGTGATTAAGTTTTTCAAGCATCCACTAGTTTTTACATCATTCGTGATGACACAATGTTATAATATTACTTGGTTTATAAAATGAATGATCTCTCAATTCCCATTAAAATTTTGCAGTGAAATTGTCGATGGATATATGTACGTATTTTTTTCCTCCATAAAATTATTCAAGATTTCCAAGAAATTTGTACAAAAAAGCACTTATGTACAATTTGATAACATTCCCTCAATTAGACATTTTTATTCCTCATAATTTCAGAAAAAAAATTTTAAAATGAATAAAGGGAAAGTTAGAGTTTTCATACACTAAAGATCTGTGGTTTATTGCAGTCAAATCGATTCATTGAAAAACCAAATTAAAAGAATAAGCTGCAAAATTCAGTTGGCTATCTTTTTTCAATCAAATTATGAAAAGTGCCACACTGGCCTATCCAATTGTAGGAGGTTATGGTAGCAACACTTTCTAATTTTAGTTATTAAAATGACTTTAAAAACCTTTTTTACAGGGATGAGAGCGGTCAGAAAGTAAAAAAGAGGAAATCTAAGAGATATATATATATATACATATCCAAAAATTTGACAAAAAAAGTGAGATTTTTAAACTTGTAAACCATGTGATTATAAATCCTGATGATTAATTTTAAAATTGTATGAATACATGAACGCGAATCACATGCATAATTTTAAATTGAGAAAATGTGAATCCCGATATGAGGCCTTTAAATCACGTGAATATGAAACTCTATATTGAATTTAAAAAATGCGAAAATACAAATCACGATGCGAAATTTTTTGATCACGTAAATACGAATCACGATGCATAATTTTTAAAGCACATATAAATACGAAAATCGATGTTTGAATCGATTATTACAACCGTAAAAACTAATCACAACAATGGATTTTAAGCTTGTGTGAATACGAATCGCTACATAGGGATTTAAAAGCGCGTAAATACAAATCGCGATATTGTATTTTTAAATCTCGTAAATAAGGATCGCAATGTACAATATTTAAATGGCCTGAATAAGAATCGCAACGTTCAAGTTAGAATAAGGTGAATACTAAAATCGATGTTTGATAATAAAATCGCGATTTTAAAAATGCATAAATACAAAATGCGACATTGGATTTTTAAATTTCATGAATAAGAATCATAATGCACGATATTTAAATAGCATAAATAAGAAAATACGAAACTTTTAAATCAGGTAAGTATGAAAATCGATGATTGATATTAAAATTGCGTGAATAAGAATCGAGATATTTGCAGAGACTGGACTTACGATTTCTAAAAGGCTGGTTTGTATTGCTTTTGCTTAGACATAATAAATAGAAATTTACAAGATTAATTGAATTAGCAAATAAATATTTTCAACGCTAATCCACCTCTATTTTTTTTTTCTTAGTTTGCTTTCACGTCAGAAAACAGGAAGCAGCGACGTCTGGATTATGAAAATACGTGCTATCCGGCAGGGCGGATAAAAATACGGAATATCTTATTTTCTGTGCGTAAAATCGGAGAAAATAGCTTAAATAAGTAAAAATGCAGAAGGGTTAGCAGCTAGGACGTAGTTTGAATTTTCTGTTCATCTTTGATAATCGTAAATAAATATTATTCTTTAATTTCAACGAATGAATTTATTTAAAAAAGGGGATATTTATAAAATTACATTTAAAAAAAAAAAAAAAAAACGAAACTTTCAGAGAATTGAGAACTTTTGATAAAAAAAAAAAGGCTGAAATTCGAGACAAAAGCAAAAAAATCTCATTCCTGTATAAAGGTCAACCAGTTTTATCCCAAGGAAATGATTTTTAGAGAAACGTCAGAGGGAAAAATGAGGACTTAAATACTTTCGTTCTGAGGAAAATTAAATTCCCCATAAAATATTTTAACATGTGCAAAAAAAAAAAAAAAAAAAAAAAAAAAAAAAAAAAAAAAAAAATCGGAAATTAGCAAGAAAAAATTTGACGAAAAAAAAAATCGGAAATTAGCGAATCCGCGGAAGAATCACATCCCTGCTTTTAGAAAGAAATGGTTATTTTTGCTGAAACAGAAATCTTTGGACATGCCTGGAATATAACGTGCAAAATTTCAGTATTTATCTTTTTTTTTTACCTATTTAATAATAAATGTTTCTCAATCTTGCATACATAACAATATAGAAACATACATCAACAATTAGTACCTTTCACATGTTTCACATTCACAATAGCAATTATTATCTCCAAAGAAATCTTCACCATAGTAACAGGTTATTTCTTCACCCAAATCTATATCTCTCAAAACTTCAACACAAGCACTATCCCTTCCTGTAGCAACAAACTAAAAGAAGCACACACACAAAAAAAAAAATCGGATTAATTTGAAGAATTTTAAAAGATAAAGTTATTAATGCTCGAAAATTAAAATGCATAGAAACCAGGCTCCGTAAACACCCAGCCTACATGGACAAAAAACAGAATTTTGCCCGGGAATAAAAAGGGTTTTTGCATGAAAAGACCTATTTGAAAATGAGTTTTTCAACCACTTGTTACATGAATACTTATATATACTAAATATAAACAAAAGATATATTACATTATGAAAAATTAGCTTGATTATTACTAAGAAATAGTTATGGGAATCTTCTAGCCATTTTATTACCTTCTTAATATTTAATGATGAAGTTGCTAAAATGATTCTTTTCAAAATGTAATGAATAAGTTATGTGATTAGTTTAAAATTATAAACAAACACATAATTTGCTTTAAATTTAATGAATGGAATTCTTAAAAGCATTGTAAACATTCATGAAATAAAATGCACTTATCTTATTGTTACACATAGTATGTTCATTTGAATAGGTATGAATTCTAAATATGCGTTACATTGTACAAAAAATTATTTACTATTATCTTTATTATACATTTTGCTTTTGAAGTAAATGAAAACTAAATAAATATAAACATTTGTTTTCTAAGCATTCCAAGTATATAATTTAAGATTTTAATGGACATGTAGAAAGCTTACTAAATTTAATAAATAACTATGTACAAATGAATATATCGTGAACAACTAATATATATATATTCACTAGATAAATTAATCTTTTTTATAATTAACAAAATTTTTATTAAATAAAATATTAACAAACAAAAATAACATTAATAAATAAAACACATATTTAGTACTGGTTATTAATCGAATGTCGTGACAATTTCATGAAACTAAAAATTTAAAATATCTGAAACATAATATATTTAACATTAAAATATTTAAACATAACAGAAAACATTCAGTCCCTAAGCAATTCCTTCTAGTCCAGTTTTTATAAAAGAAGCAGTGAATAAATGAGTAATTAGATGAGATATTTTGACTTTAAATTGATATTCTAAATTTTATCTCTAAATAGAGATTTTTCTTCTTCTTCAAAAGGTACAGTGGATGAAGACAAATAAAGTCTATAATAGAGATCTTAATATAAAATGGGGCTATTTTGGTCTAATCTTTTAACATACACAGTACAGAATTATTTTTTTTTAACAGAAACATTTTAATTTATTTCTATATTCTTTGTCTAAAAAATCTTATTAACTTTGAAATATTGAATATATATATACAGGGGTCTGTTTAGAAGAAATTTGGGTCCGTTAACGGACCCTTCACAAAATATCTTTTCATAAAAACGGACCCTTCACAAATTTGTTTATCTTCATTATTGTTTTGTTAATCGAATAAACCCTTCCCAGGAAGGGTTTACAAATGTAACAGAAGAGAAATGTGACAGAACGACAAATGTAAACGAACTAAATTTTGTCTTCGGCAGATGCTTCTTCCTTTATTCGCCGTAATGAATGTTCTGCGTTCAGCAGTATAGGCTAAATACCAAATATTTATATGTTGCATCACTAATTTAGTAGCTGTAATCAGTGTTTTCATTACAGCGCGAGAACGCGAGAATCTCGCATATTTTTTTCTTTACTCGCAATAAAAAATAATAAGCACGAGAAGTTCGCGCACTCTATTAATCAATTTCAAAATGCACGAATTTTGGAAAAAATTTCGTCTTTTGCCATTTTGAATAAAATCTGTTTCATTTTTCTTCCTTGATCTTTCACTATTTTGAACATCGGTCCTTGTTATCTAGTTTCCCTATTTACCAGTATTGTTCAGAACCGATGCGAACAGCAGAACCCCCCTCCCGAACCGCGGAATCCCTTTCAGAACACATTTCTCTGCAACCACGTGTTCGCCGTAGGTAAGGTTTCTTCATGTAAGACGTTTACATTTTTTGTGCATGAATCTAAGATGGACAAATACATTGTTAAGGCGACATCTTCCACTCCGTAACGGACAATTGAAAATGAAACAAATGTCGGTAGAAACGGTCAAAACGAAACAAACACGGATATTTTTCTAAACTAAGCTCAGTGGCGCGACAGCCCATAGAGGGCCAAGGCCTTCTGTGCCCATTACAGTTTTCTTGACCTTGGGCTCTGGGGTGCAGGACCAGATGTTCCGGTCAGGTGGTCAGCCGAACGCGGAACCCCCACTGTTTAGTTCCCAAGCATGCTTGGTACTCATTTATCGACCCACTGAAGGGATTAAAGGCTGAGTCAACCTTGCCCGGCCCGAGGATCGAACCAGGGACCTGTGGCACGACAGCGCGAAGCCCTACCACTCAGCCACCGGGCGTCACGGATATTTTTCAGCCAAATAAATATAATAGCTGATGAAAAAGTAGATATAGAACATTTTCCATATGATGATGCAGCAAAAATATTCAATTAGAAGATGTTAAAAATGTATTATAATTGAAGAAATAATTTTTTTCCAAGTCTATTCGTGTTTTTTTAATTTTTAGAAATCTCACTTAACTTTTTGAAATCTCACCCTGTTTTTGAGAAAGGGTGAGAAATTCTCTCCCATTTTTTTTCTGTAATGAAAACACTGCTGTAATTGCTGTTTATTTTTTAAAATTGAATTTTTTTAATTATAATTTAATAGTGTTGAGCATAATCTTGATGCCTTTACAATTTAAAAACTCCTTGAAAAAGTTTTTTTGCAATAACGGACCCTATTTGCACAAATTCACAAAAGCGGACCCTGGTTTAAAAATGTGACTTAACGTTTATTTTATATTCACAAATTACGAGTAATTTTTTCACAATTTTACAAAAAACGGACCTTTCACAAAATGTCTGGACAGACCCCTGATATATATACATATATATATGGGTCATTCTCACAAAAACAGTCATTTTCATGTCCCCAGTATATTTTATGTTTGTTTTACAGTTTACGAAAAAAAAATTCGGGGAAAGTGTCCTTCAGAATGCAAGCTAACAAAAGAATAAAAATAAAATTATCAATTTTTATTTTTTATTTATTTTAGGTAATTAAAATATACCAATATGTCATTCCCTCACTTGTCCCCACTGCTGATTTAAAAAAAGAAAAAATTTTTTACTGAAATAAAAATAATTTTTTTACAAATTCGTGTTTTTTATTTCAGAATACTAAAATATAGAATTCAGAAAATCAATTTTAAATTTAATTTCTGATAAAAATATTAACACAGCACTATTTTAAACTTTGTCCCCAGTGTTTCGCGTCATTCCCTCACAACAATGTTCTTATCACCTGCAATCTTCTTAGAATAAAAATATTTTAATAAAAACTTCAGAAGTTAACAACTGGCATCATAGAACAAAATTGCAGTATGTTTCCATCTTCAACTTAAAGAAGCTTTGCTGTGGAATAAATTTGAATGAATCAAACCAGGTAAAATTTTTTACATTTGTCATTCCCTCATGTCATTTTTTAGAGTAAAATAAAATACAACTTCATCGAGAAAGTGGATAATTATATGTTGCTTTCTTGTATGAATATAATTGTATGTGATTGACTTCAGAAATTAATTAGGCCTAACTGTTATTTTTAAATTTTATTGAATTCGTCATTCCCTCACTAGTGTATAAAGTGAGGGAATGACGCTGAAGTGAGGGAATGATTCAAGATGAGTATATTATTAAATTTTTTTTTGTTCAATCGTGCCAGCCAATTTTATTTCCCAAACCTGTAAAAACTATTAAATATATAAGACTAAATTATAATAAATATTAGATATACTTAGTATGTTATCATTTTCAAACTTTAGGTAGATGTAACTTAGATAAAAACATGTATTAAAATAAAATATCATTCCCTCACTATTAGTGTCATTCCCTCACTTTTTAAATAGTGAAAATAATTAATTTACTTATTAATTAATTTGAAAAATAAATTAAAAAATTAATAAATTAATTTATTAAATTAATTAATTTATTTATTAAATTAATTAATTAATTATTAATTATTATAAATTAATTAATTATAAATTAATTATTTAAAAAATTAATTAATTTAAATATTAAGTATAATTTATAGGATATATACTTTCTTTATAATGCCATTACATATTTCTATTAATATAAAAAGTTTCAGAGCTTTTTATTCACTTTACTATTTTGGGATTTTATGAACTGAAAAATGACAGTTTTCGTGAGAATGACCCATATATATATGTGTGTGTGTGTGTAACATAAAAAGCTTCAATTAATATTTTTATGTTATTCCTTTTTTGAATATCATTTTCTTAAATTATTATTCTAATTGAAACACTTTCTCACACTTTTAAATTTACATCCTGTCTTTCAAATCTATTTTTGGCTCAAGTATGCGTTAATTAAAAGCAAGATATTTTTCCCTTTGCTTTTTGTGGGAATCGTGCGACCTATTTAATAAACCAATTACAATTGCTAACATTTCCCTCTTTCCTTAAATTGAAACATTTTACACACTTACTTTGCAAGATTTTCCCTAACTTATAATGAAGAACACAACATTTCGTGACCACTTTTAAAGCTGATCTCTGCCTAATAATTGCCTCGGCAACGATGTTATACATACATATATACATAGCTACCAACCTCTAGTTATAAAAATGCAGAAGATAGACAAAAAGCAATATACTCTCCTCTTCTTAAAAAAAAAAAAAAAAAAAAAAAAAAAAAAAAAAGGAAAAACATTTTAAAAAAACTTTTGACCAGCTACTTGATTGTACAATATTCATTTATTAATTCTTAATTTAAGAGAAATATGTAATATTTTAATACTTATATTAACATTAGTTTAATTACAATTTAATAGTATGCACTATATATAAACTTAATAGAAATTATGGAAACAGAATTACATTAAAAAAAATTTGTTCTTCTGGTGTTTTGTCGATTTTACGTGTCTGACTATATCAGTTTTACCACAATGCATGATAGTAAAGTCATTTTTACATACGTTGCAACGTACATCATGTACTCCAAAATTCTATCTAGAAATAAATAGAAAGGCTTGTTTGTATTGTTTTCGTTCAGCCATAATAAATGAACAGGATTAATCTAATGAGCAAATAAATATCGCCATAAACCAATTGCTATTTTGCTTTGACACAAGCCATTTTCCTTTAACGTTTGCTTTCGCGCCGGCAAACAGGAAGTCATGTGATAACGGGAAGCGCTCCCGCAACATAATCTGAATTCCTTCTCTCATTGGTAGAAGAGAGGAGAAATCCATTACGTCACACTGAACGATGTGACGTAAATGGAATTCCTTCCATTTACGAAAGGTAGGATCACTGCAAAAGGGCTTCGTAAGGCCATTACTAGAGGAGCAACGACGTTGACTTAAAGAAAATACTAGCGCGGACGGGTAAAATGCAGAAAGCTTGCAAAATGCGGAAGGGTTGGCAGCTATGTATATATATATATATACATTTACACACACATTGTTGTATATTAACAAACCCTGAAGAGTTTACAATCCTAATAAATAATGCAATAAGTATTACGTATATGCATATTACACATAATTTGTTTTATAGATAAGTAATATATTATAATTTAGCAATATGTTTTTTCAATCATGTACTTAATTTTTTCATGAATTTAGCTTAGTTGTTCATCATCTGTTTACAAAAATTAGATTGCTGAAATATGTTTTACTTTACATAATATTGCATAAAAAGTTACTAAGTTAAATTTATAAAACTAGTTGATAATTTCAAAGAATTTGCTTAGAAAATTTATTGGAAAAAGAAAATATTAAAAAACCCACTTGGGTTTAAAGATTGGAAGGAAAAAAAAAAGAAAACACTGGGGTTTTTCTGATGAAAACGGAAATTACAAAGTAAACAAAGTTGTATTTTCAATTTCTTTTCAGAATTAACAATTTAAAATAAAGAGAACAGGGACATAGTAAGAAAAAATTCTTAAGTAAACAGACATGCTGTGAAGCTATTTGTACTAAAACTTATAATTGGGAGAACACATTAAATGTGTGCAACAGCTGTTCAATTTTTAAAATTTTATAAAAAAAAAAAATTCTTAATTTAGAACAATATAAATTAAGATTTAACTACCAGAGTATTTATTTATTATTCTCTTCTATTGCCCTTCCCTATGGCAGCTTTCACGCAACTTAAAAGGGCCAGAGAATTGATGTGTAGAATCTTACCCATTAAGGCTATTTTTCAAATTTCATTCAAGTTTTTTAGTAGAGTGAATTATTAAAATATAATTTTTTAAAAAAAGTTTGCATTATTTTTTCAGACTGAAGTTTTAAAATGTTCAGAAAAAATATTTGCCTGCAAATACGGAATCAAAAATGTACATTTACAGGAGAGGCATCTTGTCAATGACAAGTTTTTCAGTCCTTTGCAATTCTTTTCACACTCATATAATAATTTAAGAATTATTTTTACTTTTCTTGCCCTTGCTGATGTGTGGCAAAACGGAGCAACTAACCCTAAACCACTATTTGAAGACATACACTATCTAGCCATTAATGACCGGACACCTCTTGAACGGCAGGTGGACTTGTCCTGGTGGAATAAATACGGAACCTGTGATGGGGGAAAGACCATTCGCAAGCAGGCGACGGCCATACGAGCGTTAACAGTGAAAATGAGTGGGCGGCGAGAACTGAATGAGGAGGAAAGGGGCATGATCATAGGCGCCCACCGATTTGGTCATTCCATACGTGCCACCAGATACCACGGTCAACAGTTGGTGCCGTCGCGTTGAAATGGGAACGAGAGGGAGTGATAAAATCACAGTCCTGACCCGGTAGGCCCAAAATAATGTCCAACAGGGATCGGCGATTTCTTCGACGTGTAGTGAAGGCAAACCGACAAATGTCGTTGGACACTGTCGCTACCAGCTTCCGGGCTGCATCTGGCAGTGTTGCCAGTACACGTACCATTCGTCGGGAGCTGATTTCACAAGGATTCCATGGACGAGCAGCAGCACATAAGCCAAACATCTCTCCATCAAACGCCGCCACCGATTTCAGTGGTGCAGAGCACGTCGCCAGTGGACAGTAGAGCAATGGAAAAGCATTATGTGGAGTGATGAGTTTCACTACATGTTGTGGCACTCTGATGGACGGGTGTGGACTTGGCGAATGCCCGGAGAACGGTGGAGTGCATTGTCCTCACTGTGAAGTTCGGCGGTGGAGGAATTATGGTGTGGTCCTGTTTCTCATGGTTTGGCCTTGAACCCTTGGTGTTAGTGCGTGGAACCCTGAACGCAGAAGGGTNAATAAGTACGAATCCTGGACAATTCGGCGCTTCCCACCCTGTGGCAACAGTTCGGTAATGGCCCGTTTGTGTTTCAACACGATAACGCTGGCATTCATAAAGCACATGCCATCACGGACTGGTATGATGAAATGGGGGTGCAAGAGCTTGACTGGCCGTCTCAAAGTCCCGACATCAATCCAATCGAGCATCTCGGGGATGAGTTGGAGCGCCGGTGGAGGGCCAGATCACAACGCCCCAAAACCACCACTCAACTCTGCGCCGCATTACAGGAGGAATGGCGAGCAATACCTGCCGCCATGTACCAACACCTAGTGGATAGCCTTCCTAAAAGGGTTAAAGCTGAGATTCGGGCGCGCGGCGGCCCTACGCCCTACTGACTTGATACTAGCATCTCATGTATCCGAAATGAGGGGTGCCCAGTCATTAATGGCCAGATAGTGTATTTATTATTATTTTATTAACAACCTGAATCCCAGTAAGCAAATTTTATGGCTACAGTCGTTTATGTGCCCTAGGTGGTAATAGCCTCAAATAAAAACAAAAATAATTATGTAAAAACCTGAAACGAAAATTAAAATTTAGAAATAATAAGTTAATATATTACCTTACAATTTGCTCTACAATCATGGTTAATAAATGCAGCAGGGCCAAGCCATAGTTGAGCACAGTTTTTTCTACAAGAGTACATGACACTAAAATCATTTTTTCCAGGCTTCAGTAATTCTGATTCCTCTTTTTCTGATAGTTCAGCAATGCAACCAACAAGATTATGAATTTTATCCCCTTTGTACCTAACAACGAAATTATTTTCGTTATAAAAATATAACTGAAGAAATTTAAACATAGGGTGTACCAAATTAGTCTTTTTTTCTTTTGTCAAGAGGCAGAATATTTGACATTTATCTTATCTTTGTCTAAAAATAAAATTTATTATGTCCTTATCACACAATTTCTACATATTTTACAATTAAAATTCATCAAAAGGGGGAATAAATAATTTTTGAGCAAACTTTAAAAGTTTTAGTTAGTTAACCACAAGAGAAAAATTTTATAGCAAATTCTCTCTCTCAGCTCCATAAAGTAATTTAAATTATATAAAAAGCAAACCTAGAGTAAGCTATAAAGTTTCTAATACTGAAAATTTCAAAATGAAAACAAATTATGAGAGGATAACTTAGCAATGGAGAAGTTGTCTTTTAATAATTTGTTTGCATTCACATATTTTGATTTTTTTCAGCAATTGAAACTACTTAGCTTTGCCTCAACTCACTTTTTCTTCACTCTAAATTATACTCTGTTGCAAGAAAAAAACATTATCCATATGGAGAGAGCATCTAAGTGCACGCCAAATGGATGCCAGCTCCCAGTGCTCTTGAAACTATGTTGCACAGCTTTCTTTTTACTTGCTTTCTTAAAACATGTGAAATGAGGAAAACAAAACTTATTGAATATTAACTACAGTGAAACTTCCAGGAAAGACCACCTCTATGAAGCGACCACCTATATTTACGGGAATTTTTTCCATAGACTATGTGTTGAAGAAAACCTCGCTCGGCAAACATCTGCATCAAATGTGAAAAGGTCAAATAAGGAAACACGAATAAAATATAAAAACAAAAAATTTAGCAAAACTAATAAGTAGTTCAAAATATTTGCGTGAGGCTCTTATTCAGAGTTTTTTTATGACGAAACCACCTCATGTTGCAGTCAGAGTGCAATAAAGACGATGCTATTAATGATTTACTTCTAGAAATAAAAGTTAAATAAGAAAAATAATTAATTTTAGAAAAAACTAAGCATCTGAAACAAACTTCTCATCTTTTAAAAAGTCAACTAATTTTTATGATATAAAATTAAATGCAAACTTAAACAAAAAAACATAATTGTTTATTTATTTAAAATAGCTTTATCATTCATAATTGGTAAATTTGTTTTCACACATAATCAATTATATCAGTTGGGATCATTCTTATAAAAGCTAAATTTCATTCATAGATCAGTCTTTTCATGACTAACACAGAAGTGGCATTTCCACACCAAGAAAATGACACTGACTAAAATTAAATAGTTTATGAAAGAACCTTCGATAACAATTTTGAAGTCAATGGAGGTAACCTCTAAGAATTATCAACCTCCATCAATGACCATTTTACTGTGGAAAGGAGAGTGGTCTCTCCCAAGAGGTTTTACTGTATTTTGTTTTCGTAAAATTAGGAAGTTGCATCATATTTAAATTTTATTGGTATTATTTTTCTACAAATGAATCGGAAAGTATATTTAAACAAGAAGTAGGGAACAAATTCTTAGGTGGAGTAGACATTCCCTAAACAGTAATCACGATTTACTACATATTCAAAACAAAAATTGTTAACAATAACAAACAAACAGTTATTAACAATAATAATCAATTAACAAGTAATAAGAATTAATTAAAATAAATAATCTTTTTGTTCGCAATAAAAGAAACTGATGAGAGAATAATAAATATTGTTTCTCGCAGACTATTTTCCTTTACAGCAATAAAAAGTAAAAATTCTTTATCATGCATTTGATTTGTTGAAGGCATGTCAGCAAAAGACGCACAATTTTTTAGTAGTCAAATCAAATCCAATGTTCTTGGAATTGATAGTAGATTCCTTTTCAAGAACAAATGTTCTACTTATTTATCAAAATATGTCGCCAAGTCAAGAATTCCAATAAAACTAGAAACTATAACCTTTTTTAAATAATTCTATAATATATATAGTACAAAATAGCACAGTTTAAATTTCTGTCAGATGTGTTTTACCTTAAAAAAATCTTTATATTGTTTTGAAAGCAGATTTTTCTATAATTTGATGATGAAATAAAACGGAACCATATGCAGTTGCGCATGATTAATTAAATCCTATACCGCAATAGTCTTTTCATTGCAGAAATGTTTTAATTTACAGTAATTTTTAACCACAATCAAAAAAATTTCTAACTGCTCATTTACATATTTAAATTAAATAAAACTCAAATTATAAGATTAAATTTTTGTTTAAATAAACTATCTAAAAAATAGTTTAAACAAAAACATTATTTTTAAAAATTGAAATAAGTATTTTACAGAAATCTGCTGTTTCAGTAATTCAAATTTTCAACTATAAGTTTCCTATTAATTTTGAAATTCAGTAAAAACAATATTCGAGATGGATAATAATAAGAAGTTGCAAAAAAAATTTTTTTCAAAAAAATAATTTACCATTTTTTGGTTGCACAAACTTTAGCTCCTACATTTCCTTCAAGGGAATACCTTTCACAAATGGACATTTTGAAACCAGATTCTTTATCAAATATTCTAAGATATCTAAAGATCTGGAAAGAAAAAAATTAAAATGATATTCTTTGAAGCTGTAATGTAGAAGGCTAAGTTTAATTTAATTCAATTACAAAATTTTTAGATAAAGCCTTCCTCAAACCACATGCAATATTAGACTATCTACTAGTAAATCTACCAGAATAAATAATGAACAGATAGAAGAAAAACACTACTCAAACTTTTTTTAAGAAATGGAGAAATATTTTGATAAATTTTTTTATTATCAATATTTTTGTTAAAAGCCATGCACACTTTAAAATTTCACACACATTTTATAAATTTTTTTTATCAATCTCTTTATATTGAAAAAATGGAAGAATAAAAGAAAAAATTTTATTTGAATTTTTTTCGAAGAATGTGATAAAATGTTATCTAAGCAATATAATAAAATAAAAGTCTTCAATAACAAAAATAATTAAAACAAATTTCGAATTCGTTTTTTGTATAAATTTAAACTTTACAACCAACATTAGATTAAAGAATTCCCTTTTCAATACTAGTTACAGTGAAGACCAAAGTTCCATAAATGTTTTTTTTTTCTTCTATTAATTCTATTAACTTATTGTGAAAATGAATTAATTCTATGTTACACAAATTGTCTGAAGTCAGTTGCAAAAACCAAATATGAGTCTAAGAAAATAAAAATAATTATTACCCTTAAATATTAGATACATAGTTAATATATATCCTTATAATTAATAAATAAATTTTGTACCCTCCTACCCAAGACCTGTTTTAATTCTTCCACTCGGCAACAACGTTTTATATTTATATATATATATATATATATAGTCGTTGCCGAGTGGAAGGATTAAAACAGGTCTTGGCTGGGAAGGAGGGTACAAAATTTATTTATTAATTATTAGACAGAGCAGTCATGAAAGTGTACACGAAAAGTTGCACTCCT